ATGTTTAAATTAATTCAAAGTACTCAGAAGCAGTATGTGCTGTTGGAAGTATACAAGTTGACTGTGACGCAATTAATGTCGATGATGAAGTCTTTGTTAGATACCAAAGACTACCTTACCAACTTTTTACGTCTCCACATGATTTATTCAAATAAAACATCACACACGTTCTTCTTTTTCCTGTTTATTAATGTGTTAGTCCAACCAATCACAGTTGCCGTTGATAGTAATATCATTGCGCGTTTATATGACATTTTCAAGTCAATTCCATTTTATTTGTTATCCACAATGACACCCGAAACCCTAAAAGGTATTCCTCCACTGAACTCAAAATTCATAAAATCGCTTGTGTTACAACCGATTGTTCTTTCTATTTCACTCAATTTGCAACCAAATCAATTGGTCTTCAGTTCATATAATGCAGCAACAGCATTTTTATATGCATTCGGTTCTTTATTAGTAAACATCAGAAAATCTTCAATTAAATTGAACACCTCAATTGCAAAGAATATTAACAGCGACACTGTTGATATCAATATCGACAATATTAAGGGCTCATTAAAACATGTTTTCATCGAACTACAAGCAAATCACGAACCAAGCCATCATCTTCTTTGCAAATTCTTCGTTTGGGGAAACCCTCAAGGGCTACCGAAAGACATCTCAACATGATGTCACGACTTCTACGAGCCAGCACAGGGCCTCACTGTTTCCGCGAGTTCATTTGGGCATGGGATGGCAAAAGGTGTCAGATCTCTAGCTAAAAACACTACGCATGGTGCTGAGTCTTCCATTTCTGGGATGTTGAAGTCTTTTTCGTCCTTTGTTGTTTCTTTAAGTTTTGATCGGGCGTATATTGACAAGAGAAATGCAGACCGCCGTGTGAAAACGACAGGAAAAGGAATGAAAAGGGTGTTTGAGTCGTTTTCAAGTGGGATGTTCGATGGGTGTTGCTGGGTTGGTGTATCAAGCCTGTTGTTGGTGCCCAGAAAAGATGGTGTTAATAACTTTTATTGTTGGTGTAGGGAAAGGGAATAGTTGGTGCAATTGATTTAGTTGGTAAGACTTTCGAGAACCAAGGTGTGTCAACTACAAAGTCGTGATGAAATCGTACGACAAAAATGAGTCTTTGTTACTCAAGTTGGCGAGAACAC